CAAGATCAGTTCTCAGCACAAGCAAACAATGGAAACACCCATGAAACTTTGCAAGATTTAGCACTCTGACCAGTGCCTACCCAAGCTGTGTTTCACACAACAGCTCTCAGCAATGCAGGTAGAAAACTGGCCTGACTTAAAGCAAGAACTGTCCTGCCTTAATACATACACAGTAGTTGATTCTTCCAACCATGTTCCTTTCCAGCTTCAAAAAGCACTAACTTGTTTTGGATTTCAAACCCGCAAGACTAATGTCCAGCAAATAAGACAATGTACTTCCCATCCTTGTTTCAAAAAACTCTAAAAACACAGCTCACACTAAGCACTACCTTCATAAATACATACTTAAATGGTACTTGCAACTTTTGATCTTAAAGGTGGAAAGACTTCTTCTCAGCAGGAGGACTGTCATTCAGGTTTTATTTAAGAACAAAGTGGCAGGTCAAGCAAGGTCAAGTCAAGCAAGAAATAGACCACTTAACCAATCAAGTTATTTTCAACAATAGAACTGCAATTTTGGTTTTCATTACAAGTCATCTTAAAGGTTTTGCAAGAGCCTTTGCTTGATATTAAATTGTCCAATAAAATATGACAGTTATTTTTAAGTTGATGTGATTTTATCTTCATGGTCAAACATAAGCTTTGCTGATGTCAAAACTTCTGTGTTTGTGTCATTTAAAACACATGTCCTGTCTTAATTCTGAAATAAATGACACAGCTTTTGGACTGCAGATATGTTGCAGCTTTCAAAGTTTCTCTGCCCCAAAGCTTCAGTAGCTACACTATTCCAAAGCCTTAGTAAAATGAGGGGGAAATCCAGGTCACACAGGACTTTTTTGAAAAATATGGTTTTACCTTCTCCTCAGATAAGGTTCTAGGACAGTGAAAAATCCAGGCAGAGAAGTTAGCACTGAATGCTTATAAAGGCCAATCCCCAGCTGATGAATTGGAGTCACACACACTAGTTGTCACCTCAGTGGCTGTTTGGGCCAGGCAAACCTTTCCAAACTTGGCCACTGTTAAAAAAAGTCCCAGCTGCTCCCATCACAAGATTCTCCATGCTAGGAATTGTGGTAGTAGTTCCTCAAAAAAGAATTTTCCTCCTGGGTCACTGGCCAAATAAGGCTAATTTCCATTATCTTGTCAGCTTAAGACACCTGAGATCAGAGGAACAGTTTTACTAAAGCAAGTTGCCCACAAATTGACAGGCAGAGTCCCTTGACAACTGTGGAGAGGCTGTCCTATGTCAGTAAAAGCTCTTCATCAGCAAGAAAGAAAAAATCCAAAGTCAAAGAGGAGAAAAAAAAAAAAGGGCCTCTTACCTCCTGCAGTATTTCACTTCTGTGTTCCACCAGCAAGGTGTTTGTCCAGGCCTCATACATCTATTAGTCTAGCACACAGCTTTGTGCAGGACAGTGCTCATAAAGTTTGTGACCTGTTCTTGGTGGGAGGAAGTTGTCACCATCTGGAGAGAAATCAGAGGAAGGAGAGGCAACATGAGTCCTGCTCCAAGTCATCAGAAACACAAAAGGACTGTTGGTTTGGCCAGTTAGAGGATCACAGAAGGCACAATCCCTTTACTGTGTGTACAGGGGCTTTATATTTTGTGCATCTAAAGGATTTAGATGCTTTTCCCCTCATGTTTGCTTATTTGCAAAACTTGCACTCTGACAACAACACAGAGTGAGTTCATGAATATCAGTGATGTCCTGTGAGGATGTGGAGGTGATGGAACACTCAATTCCAGAGCACTGTGCAGATTGTTATACAGGACTTGCACAGACAGGACACACAAGCAAGTATATGTTAATCCAAAAAAACTTCAGGCTCATAAGTTCATGCAACACAGGTCAGCTCCTGAAACTGGCTGCTTAACTCAATGGAGGAAAGAGCCCTTAAAGCCTGTTACAGACTAGAACTCAGTCTCTCAAATCTGAGACAGCCAAGGCTTACTTCCACAGAACCCAGGGCAGCCATCCACACTCTGCACAGCACAGCACACCGAAGCCCTTGTCAAATCCTGTCACTGTATAGACCCATTTCCCTACTCCAGAGGGGAATCCCAGTGAGGTACCAGGCAATACTGCTCAGGGCAGTTAAGGCTTGCTGGTGCCCTCAGCCGCTGGCTGCCCACCACCACAGGGAGAGGTCTAGAGAGGTTCCAGGACTGGCTGCTCCCAGGGACCCCTCCTGAGGTGAGTGAGAAGGCAGAGAATTAACAAGGTAGGTATATGGAACTAGCCAAGCATTTTGTTTCTTCCAACTTCCCTCCTGTGGGCAGTGTCCTGGAAATCAGGTTGGTCAGGGCCACCTTGTATTCAAGGCAGCCACCTGCCCACTGTCAGGATGTGACCAACAAGTCCCAGGTCAGAGGCCCCAGCAGTCCTACCAGGGGAGCTGGATTGCTCACAAGCAATTTCTCCCTGGGGGTGCAAGAGACAGGAGAAAGGTCACAGGCAGCTCCAGGAGCCACTTAGCTGCTCTTAGAGGTGCTGATCCCCAAGCTGTGGCAGTGCATCATGGTAGAGAGAGGTATCACCCTAGCACCCCAGAAGACACAGAAACCAGCACCAGACACCTGAGCAGAGCAGCTTTTGATAAGGAAGGGTCGTAAGTCATAGGGTGCACAGCTGCAACCTGACAACAGCCTCCTACACCACTTCCAACTGAACCTAAAGGTACAGGCCAGCCCCAAACAATCCCACGATGGGAAACAAACCTGAAACAAGCCCCCCACATACATCAGCCTCATAGGTGAAGCCCAGCTCCCCCAGCAGCCAAGCAGAGCAGAGTGAGAATTAACAGCAGGTTCTGCCAAAGGCCCAGCACACAGAAAGGAAATACGAAGTGCTGAAACTGAGACATCCAGAGAAGGACAAGAAGTTAAGAAAGGATCTGAGGTGTACAAAGACCTACCCACAGAGAGGGAAAGAAGAGAGGCCCCTCAGCTGGAGCTTAAATGGCAGTGGGAGGACCCTGCTCAAGTTAATTAATTAAGCAGGGGCTTAATTAAGGGTGCTGCAGGGCTACCTCTCTTCCCTACCTGAGAGCAGCTCGTCTCTCTGAGAAAAACAGAGCAAAATCAGATAGCCAGTTTGGACAAAAATCCCTGGTTTTTTGGTGTATCTTCCCTCATGTTCCTTGCATAGTTCTGGGAGAGACAGCCAGCTCCCAAGACATCTTTATTTCCCAAAACAGTCAGTGAACAGATCTTCCAAAGTCAAGAGAGTTAGTTCACCACCCAGAATCAGGAAGGAGGGATGAGAATGAAAGGTTCTGATCTTAATTCGAAGGATGTTGTTTAAATCCCAGCCCAGTCAGTCTACAAAGGAACAAAGTACTAACACAGGAAGGTGGCAGACATGACACTGTGGCATTACAAAAGAACTATGCCTTCCCCTTAGAAATATGTGCAAGCAGCTGGGAGGCAGTAATGGGGAGCAGAAGCTGGTGGCTGCTGAAGCTCTGCAGCCTGCAGCTCCCCAGACAGCTCCAGGGAAAGGAAGGGTCTGTCCAGCCTAGGATTTATCAGCTGCAATGCCAGGCTGGATGACTTCCTGTCAGTTTGGAAAGGCCCCAGCCTTCACTCACCTCTGGACTCCTCTGTCATTGGCTAGAGCTGGAGGCTTGGCTTCCATGCGTGAGACTTCTCTTTTCTCCTGGCACTTGTTCCAGCAAAGAGTTGTAGGAGGCTTTGTGTCTGTCCTTCAGGCACAATGAAAGAAGCAGTGTGTGTCCTTCATACATCCACACTCCGATGCACAAGTCTGATTGTAGAAAAAGAGGCACTAAAGTGATGTCAGGGAGATCTCTGGGCTTCTCTTTGTTTTTATCTTTCCCCTTGCTTAGTATTTTACTTGTGAGAGTCCTATGGACCCAGCCATGTGCTCTTCAGTGAAATTGCAGTTCCTAACATGTCTATGTGCTCTCACAGCAGCTCTGACACTTTCAGTGCCCCTGATCCAGTGCTGGTGTGGGACCCTGTGGGACCCTGAGGGAACTTTCTGCTCTGCCCGAGATGTGGAAATGGATCATTATGGTTCATTTTCTTATGCTGGCTTTGCTTTCAGAAACATCAGTTCCCAGATACGAAGGCATTATGTGGCACCCAATAAGCTGAGAGGCCCTTGGAATGGGGAAGGTGACAGGCAGGCTGGAACTAGAGTAACTAGTGCAACCCAGGACACTGAAGCCTGTTCTAAACCCTGTTTTCCAGATGCGGGTTCAGGGAGCAGTTTTGGGGGTGCAAAACCCCAGCTCATCTGACTTCAAGAAAGGAGGGCAAGTCATGGGCTGTGGGCCTCAAATGAAGACACGTGTCCTTGGGCCTTAAGACCAAGAGTCATCAAACTCAGAGACTATGACCTGTGTTTTCTGTACTTGAAAATGGAGACTTAGTCCTGAGTTTTCCAGACTTGAAAACAGGTTCATGGAGCTGTTCTGGGTGCTCTACAAACGAAACAAAGTCGTGTGTCTTTGGGGTTGGGAAAAGGGTACCTGGGGCTGGGCTGTGGAGTTGAAGCAGAGACCAAGTCCTGCGTGTTTGGGCTCAGAAACTGAGATTGAGTCATCTGTTTCTGAGCAGGAGGGTGGGAGGGAGTGCGATGATGTTTTGTTCCAGGCAGGCAGGAGGTGGGCAGGGTATGTAGACCACTACCACGGGTGGGGGTTTGGTCATATTGGTCCCCAAAGTTTGAGAGACCAGCCTACAACAGGCTGAACTCAATGTCTGAAAGAGTCTCTGGGGAAAAAGACACTTTTCATACTGTTTTTATGTGTCCAACTCTTTATTCAAGGTGTGTACAACAGCTGGAATAGTCATTAACTCATTAATTCACATTTAGACAATGCACAATTATGACAGCTCATATTCCTAAGACAGTGATTGATTTATGACCTTGCCAAAACCCACACTGCTATAATGAGCAGAAGTTTTAATTAGCTTAAGGATGGGCAGGGCTACCCCAGGCAGGAGCAGAGCAGGCAGCAGCATTGTCCTCTGCACAAGCAGCCTGGCTTCTTCCTCAGAGATTCAGGGAACCCTGGGCAAGTCTCTCCCGGTCTCCTTTCAAGGGCAGAAATTATGTGTCCCAGCACATGCATGGTTCCTGCTGGGCAATTTGTGGGCCCAGTTGCCCACACTCACCAAAGACAAACTCAAGACTGAACCAGCTCCTCCACCCCTGGAAAGGAGGGCACTTTTCCAGGAAGCAGCCAAACAGCATCTTCAATTTGATATGTTACACTTATACAATACTTTCTGTGCTTATTAACTAATTAATGAGTGTTTAATAATCAGACAATATCTATAAACTACTAATTCATTACTATTTATATACTTGTAAGTTGATTATTCAACACATACTCAATATTAAACTATGCTACTTATAATCAAGTGATGGCGGCAATTTATTTACAACCATGTCAAGAGCTCCCTCTGGCATGACAGTGAGTAGGAGTTGCACTCCTACCCCTATGAAGGTGGTAGGAGCTAGGCAGGATCAGGCAGCATATGGGCAGTTGCCCAGCACAGGCCTTTTGCCTCTGCATTGGGCACATATCCAAAATATGCAGGAATATGAGTGGTGTGTTTCATTTTTATGAAGGTACTGTTGCCCTTACCAGTGTGACTTTCCAGTATCATTAAAATTAATAAGATGTTGATTAGCAAAGCAACAAGGAATAGCAGTAACTCTGTTACCTCTCAGCTTTTCAGTTTGCAGTCTCATGTTTAGCAAACTTAAAAGTTGACTTAATCTAAGACTATTGGGTAGTGTAAGATATTGGTGTATCTATCAACACAGTGTAGAAATTTTAGGGAGGTGCAGACTGTGACAAATGCCATTTGAATCATTACTCAACTACACAATAAAGCTACAGCATTTTTACATTTTACATAGTTACTTAGGTATAACTAAGAGGGTGAAGCTGAATATGCAAGTAGAATACATGAAAGCTTCTGTGCAAATTCTAATTAGTAATGATGGCCTGCTGCAGAGGCTAATCACAATAATGAGAACCAGATAACAGCTCAGGAAGCCCAGTTAGAAAGTAGGAGAAGACTGCGACTTCAAAAAACTAGTAGTATTTTTAATTGGAAAAAGCCCCTAACAATCCAAAACAAATGCTCAAATAATGAAACAAATGAAGACACTGACAAAGTATTCAAACTTCAGGAGCAGATAGTCTTGCAAAGTGATTCTGTAAGTCTCCATCAACTACTAGGAAAATGCTCTAAACCCAAGAACTTTCATGGTGTACTGGGGCTCTCTGGTTTGTTGTGCCTCTGTAGGATTACACTCTACAAGATAACATTTTAAAAGAAGCAGCTGAACCTAGTCCTGAAGCTATTGATTTTAGTCATGTTCTTTCAAGAAAGTCTATGTAAGTACTGGAGAAATCTCTGAGGGGAGAATAATTAATAGTAAAATGTTGATTCTTCTGTAGTAGAAGAAATGTTGAAGGAACATGGCTGGTCAGCAGTTCAGCCCCACACACCTGCTTGCTCAGAATCAGAAGAGTAAAAGTGAAAAAACTTGTGGATTGAGATAAAGACAATTTAATAGCTAAAGCAACACCATGGAAGGAAAGTAAAACAGGGAATTCATTCACTGCTTTTCAGGGGCAAGCAGGTGTTCAGCCACACCCAGGAGAGCAGAGTTCTACCACGAGTAATAGATACTTGGGAAGACAAATGCTGGACGTCACCTCTTTCCTTCTTCTTCCCCCAGCTTTTACTGCTGACCATGAGGACATGGTATGGGATATCCCTTTGGTCAGTTGGGGTCGGCTACATTCCCTCCCAACTTCTCATGCACCCTCAACTTACTCAGCAGCAGGGCAGTGTGAGAGGCAGAAAAGGCCTTGATGTTTATAAGCACTGCTCAGCAGTAGCTAAAATGTCCCTGTGCTATCAACACTGTTTTCAAAACAAATACAAAATATAACCCTTATAAGGTACTATAAGAAAATTAACTCTATCCTGGCCAAAACTGATAAAATAGTAGAGGATAATCTTACCTGTTTATAACTGAGGCTTAAGTGTTGCATTTCATGTTTCCTGAGGCTGACACTACAGCACATGATTATAAGTCATAGGTTAAAAGCTTCCTGTGATGGAAAGGAAGATGGCAAAAATCTGAGCCTAAATGTAGCAATTGCAACTTTAAACATTATCTTTTTGTTGTTATAGGCCAGAGATGGAACACAAAAAAATAACAAACAACCTCATGAACAGTAGTTTAAGAATAATAGCTAATAAACTCAATAAAAGAATTAAAAACCTCACTACTGACTATGCTGTTAATATCTGAGTCCTATGGAGTAAGAACTGAAATAGTCATTAATGCCAGTTTTATCTTATTTTTAAATGTCTTCAATAAGTATTACAGGAGAGCAAGTGGTTAATTCCACCACATGAATATTAACAATTACTCGCTGCCTAACTTTGCTTTAATGATTTCCATTTTTACATATTTATATGAGGAGGAAAAGGTGCAACACTTAGTTTATGGCCATGACTGAAGTTATGGAAAGAAGAAAATAAGGTGTAAATTCAAGTGTCTCAGAGTCCATAAAAGAGAAACTCTGTTTCTGCCCACTATTAAATATGATCAAAATGACCTGATCGTGAATATGTTTATGTAGAAATTGTCAAGTATGTATATAAGTCTCTGTAGATATAATTATATGTATTTGCAAATGATATTTGAGTTGGAAGAAACAAGTGATTCAATTAAATCCAAATGTTTCCCACATGCAATCAGGTAAAGTATAATTTGTTATCATTAAGCTATCTTTGCAACTTCAGAAGTGAGAACTATACTTTCATGTCTTTCAGAAAAACATTATAGAAATTAATGGTCCTTAAATAGGTAAAAGGAGTAGGTAAAAAGAGATTAAAAGCAGTACTTGGCAGACAGAAGAGCTTCCTCAATTAGAGACGTCAAAAACCTCTAAATTTGTAGTATGTGGGCATGTAACTTTATGAGAGAGTGTTATGAAATGACTAACCAGGTAATTGTAAAAATATGAAGTTATTCTATTCCTTTTCTGTTATTTTCCCATCCTTTGAGCCAGATAGTCAGTAAAACGTGTAGTATGTCATCATTGCAGTATGACCAGTCTGAAGTTGCCACTCTCACTGTACCCATGTTAGAAGAGACTCCACCAGTGACTGAACCTGTGGGAATCTGTGAACAAAAGGGGAACGCTCAGCACTGTGCCCTCAGGGACAAAACTGTTTCTAGGAAGTTACTCTGGGTTATCCACTGTGCCAAAATGTTGGTCTGCCAATTACAAGACACGGTAACCTCCCAACAGTGCAACTTGTTCAGGCCTCTCAGCTGCACAGCTGTTGCATTTGGCCTTGTACCCTGTTGTAAACTGTCAGTAACATCTGCCATAGTGTGAACTGTGGGTTGGTGGTTGTGTTACTGCATCCTGGCTGCTGCGTGTGCACAGTGTGAGCTTTCATCCTAGCAGTGAGTAAGAACATGTCCGTGGGTGGGCAGTAAGGCTGGGTGTTGTCAGAGCATGCTGTGCTAGGGTCATTCCCACTGATGAGCTGTGCAGGTCTTTGACCTGTGCCATGAGCTGTGCCTCTCCCCTTGGAGTCTCACCACCTTGTGCTGACAGATGTTGAAGGCTGCACCAGCTGGTATTGTCCTTAAGGTAAGAATTGTCCTTTCTTCCAGGTCTGGTCTGGTACTATGAGTTTACACGCTTGTGCTAGGGAGCAAACAGAATTTACAAGATACAGAAGATATACTAGTAGCTAATAGGTAGCCAATAGGTACTTCCCACCAATGCACCTGCACAAACTTTAACTGCCAATTAGTGCTGCAACTTCTGTACTGATAAAGCACAATCAGCAAGGTTAGCCTTGTAGGTGAGATAAACCAATTGGGAGATTGAGCAGGACCTGATGAAACTAGGATGCTTTTTAAAAGCCTTAGTACTTGACTTTCAGCTTACAAAGATCTCTTTGTAGCATGTATTCAGGTCTGTTTTGTGTGTACATGCCACTCTTTTCTAAGAAGCCTTAACTTAGAATAATATAGTTGGAGGAACCTGAGTATGGCTGGCACAGGCTAGAAAACATTGAATCAAAACCTTCCACCTAAAGAGTATTTGATACACTGAGTCACCAGCAGCCCAGACATTCAAATAGGAAGATCTGATAAACCTGACCAAAAATCCCACAAAATTCAAGTTTTCTCATGCCAGGGCCAGGACTACCTGGTATTACCAGACGAATATGAAATGCAGCAGGACTTCCTCCTGTCTGGGTCTCAAGGAATTTTATTTTGGCATGCAGACGGACTGCAAGGAATCTGTAACAAAACCAATGAAAACAAAACAAAAAGCCTTCACCTGCACAATGCCTATTTTGGATATAATAAAAGTACTAAAAATGAGAATTTCTACAGACTTCTTTCTCAGGACCTCTCTTCAACTTTCTGCATACAACAGACAATCTTCAAACTCTCAGGGTCAGGAAAAACTCCTTAAGATTTTTGCATATAAAAATGTTTTGAGTTAATTTGAAAGAGAAGTGTCCAGAGTATTTCAAAGCAGACTGTTGATTATCAGAGAAATTACCAACGTTTTTTAATTCCATTTTTGTTTGATAGCCCCTTGTGTGCTACTGAGCTAGGTTCCTTTTCGGTAAAACAAAACCATTCACTGAAGCCCAAAGATGAACATCAGCTTCCTGGGAAGGTTAAGCAGATGGAGTGGTGGACATAGACACTGCCTGTCAGACTGCAGATGAGAAGTTTAAGGTGAGCTGACCCTGCATTTGGCTTTGAGGATCTCAGGCAACTAATACTTGAGTTCAGGGAAAAAATTATGGGGTAGTAAGAATAACATTTTTTGGGTGAAATTCCCAAGTATTATTCATTACATGGATTTCTCAGTTCTCCTGTCACTTGGGCTGTAGTCAGTCAGATTCTGCCTACTTTCAAACATATTCAATATTTCAACTTCAAGAAGTAGTTGAAATGCTATCTATTCACTCCAACAAACACATGAATGTGTTCGATATTCATTCTATGAAACACATCCATCACCCTGTCTTCATAGTAGCTCTTTGTGGGCCAAACCAACCACAAGATTTCTTTTCTTATTTTCACAACCTCAAAATAATGCCCCCAAAGGAAAAACTCAAGGAGCTAGTCAGAACCTTATTTCTTAAATTTTTATTGTTATTAGGCTTAGCTATCCTCCCCCACCTCCCCAAATTATCCCAGTAGCTGTCTTGTCACAGCAAAGATGTCCAAAGTTACTGATGTCATTCTTCAAAACCTAGAAAACCTGAACATCTCTTTGGTGCCTCTAGCACTGCTGAAGGAGGTAAATATCCCTTCAAAACTGTGCCCCACCAAAATGCTCTAAGAAGTAGCGGTGAGAAAAGAGGCTGATGAAGAGTTGCTTTATGTAAATGTTGCAGTCTGTGATGCAGTGAGATGTTCACGAGGGGAAGTGGAGGGGCAAATAGCAATTTCTTCACTCTTGTGACCGGTGACAGGACTCAAGGACACCGCACGAAGCCGAGTCAGGGGAGGTTTAGGTTGGATATCGGGAAAAGGTTTTTCACCTGGAGGGTGGTTGAGCACTGGAACAGGCTCCCCAGGGAAGTGGTCACAGCACCAAGCCTGACAGAGTTCAAGAAGTGTTTGGACAATGCTCTCAGGCACATGGTATGATTCTTGGGGTGTCCTGTGCGGGGCCAGGGGCTGGACTCAATGATCCTGATGGGTCCCTTCCAATTCAGTATATTTTATGTTTCTATGAATTAACCCCTTAGGCAGACTGCAAACAAGTAGAAATATCTCTCCTGTTCTGAACTCAGACAGGCAGTGGGCTACCTCTCCAGAAAAACAGTTGTCTCCCACAGGTCGTATTTCCTGTCTGCCAGCCTTGTGACAGTAGGCATCCAGGTTCAGGCAAAATGAATGTCTAAACTATTTCTAGCTATTATCCTAGTGCAGGGCACATGCAGAATCACAAGGCATCGTGTTTGCAGCAGTCCAATTCTGTTGTTTCCTCTTCTCCCACAAAAAAATAGCCAACCACACTCTCATGTTGAAGAATACAAATCAGGATCTATATTTAACTCCTCTCCCATGTGTATCTATGAAGGCATTACCTGTTTGAGGTGCAATTAGGTAGGTCATCTAACTTGTCTACCCCAATTATTTTTGCTTCTGGGTTTGTACACTACTTCAAAACTCCTTCTTGATTCTGCTGTATGAGATATGACACAGAAGGAATCTGTCATGCTTTGACCTTTCTAGAAGGATGCCTGTGTGTCTTCTAGTTCATGAAGGCAACTTTTTCCAGTGTGAGAGGCCTGAACAAGATGTTGAACTTTGATGACAGGTTGCTACAAAGAGCGTATGATTTGTAGGGTGTCATGGCAGTTTAATTCTCAAAGTTGAGGGGATTTTCTTGCTAGCAAAACCTGCTTTCTTGTCTGACATGTGGGTTCTATGGACTTGATGCTGAAGACATTGAGTTGTACTCTCGAAAGGACTTACGCATTACTGGTAGAATTTTTTTCTCTTAATGATTTAAGTGTCTAAATTCTGTTTTTGAAGTGATTTAGGCCAGAGTCAGGGAAGTATTTTAGAATCCAAAGTTATAAAGTAGCTCAGCAGAGGGATTATCAAAACAACTCATAAATGCTTTCAAATCTCCACCATTGGGACCATTTTGAAGAAATGCACTTCCCAACACCCTTGAGTTCCCTATAGTTTTCAAAAATTCAAGAGTTCCTAAGTGAGGAAGGGGTTATTTGAATATAGAACACTGAAACAAATACAAATATCTTCTACAAGCAGCAGAATATGGTTGTGATTTGAAAAGGGGAGGAGGAATAAGGTTTATTTTTTACAAAAATATGAAAACTTTCATGCAAAATATAAATTAATCTCTTTAAAATAGATAAACTAATCTCTATTCATTACTTCCCATGCACTCTTGGGGGAAAATAATGATTGATATAGCTAGGCAGGGAGGAATTGTACCTGAAGGCTGGGTAGCCACGGAGGCAGGATGGCCTCCAAAGCCAGGCAGTGTGTGACCACAGCATGTTATTGCCCATACCAGACCCAGAGGAAAAAAACATCCCTGCAGCTTCCAAACCTGTGATACACCCCCCTTCCCCATGAGAGTCAGACAGCTCAGCCAGGCACTAACTGGCTGTATTAGTGTGGGGCTGTGTGGTGGCATTGCCCTCCTGTGCCATTTAATGTTCCCTGCTTTGAGTGCTTCACCAGCACCACAACATGCAAGTATTTGGGCTTGGCATTTGGACATGATTTCTGTTCTCCACTTCAGGTTTTTGACACTGGAAAGTCCTAGCCTGCTCTGCTAGCAGCAACTCTTTGAATTGCTTATATGTGCATTAATGGAAATATCTATCAGATATGAATGGAAAAAGTGCTGTGCTAAGTGTTAGAAGAGTCAGTAAAAACATGTCCATGTATTTTTAGTCACCCTGGGATTAATTCCCAGGCAGGTCTTTGTTTACAATGCTATATTTACATGGAACAGCCATGTGGAACAGGGATATTCCTCCTGACAGCTACTCTGATTTCCTCAAAGCAATGGAGGGAGGGATTGCTTCAAAATCATACCTGCTGCATTTCTGTCTCCCTCCAAACACCATCACAGGTGCAAAGGTGACAGCTACCCCAGTGCAACTCCTCTGCTTCTCACAGCTCATGTTGGTAGGCTGGGGACACCTGTTGCCATCTCCTACCAGGAATGCCCCAGACATAGACGTCAACTCCTACCCCTGGGGAGACATGGTCTAGATGTTGCCCCATCACTCACCTCTCAGTACTATGAGGCTTGCAAACAGTATGTCCCTTCATTCATCTGGGGGAAGCCATTTGTTTTAAGGTGTGTTCATTGGCCTGCCCATGCTCTCCACTATGTTCATTTAGGACACTGTCATTTCCTAGAGCATAAGACAAAAATAAATTTAGTGTATCAGCGATAAACATGATATCTTTTGAAACTGCTGATCTTCATTTTACATATCTGAATTTTTAAAAGCAACTGCTATTTGCTCTTCCCCTGACTCCTGTTAAGTTCTGATCTCTGAGCCCTCTTTGATCTCATTCACAGGCTTGGTGTGCAGGAAGAGTTTCTTTCAATCTTTCCTGACTGCAAATATGAGGTCAGAGACTATTCTAGCCATCTCATTTCCAGAGAGGCAAAATTAGTCAGGCCAAAATTTTGGAAGATCCCCTCCATCAATATTTTAGTCCTACACTGAGGAGTCCAGCTCTTGAATAATGTCTGGCAACTGCAGCTACTCTTAAGGTGATGTAGAAGAACCAACCACCCTGCCAGCAACTTTTGCAAGACCTTTGCTAAAATATTGTCATTCATAGCTGTCCTGCCTCGGTGGCTCACTACAGATATCATAATTGCTGAGGAACAGAGATGAACATAACATGTGCCCTGTGGATATTGCCTTTTACCATTGCATTTTTCTATGCAGAAAGGAGGTGTTATTAGTAAGCAAGGGTGAGGGCAGCTGTGTATCTCTGGATTCTTCTCATTAAATAAGGCAAGATAAGAAGCAAAGCCTCACTTTAACCTGTCCCTTTGTCACGGCAGCAGGAGAACAAGCACACTAGACTGCCTTGTTCCTGCAGAGAAACCCAGGAAGCAGTGCAATGAGAGAAGTGCAATTGCCTAAAAGGATGCAGGTAGTCCAGACCAGTGGCTGGAGTATTCCCCTGTTGTCATCCTGCCTTTACTTCATGCTGGGGATACAGGGCAGGGACGTATCACCCACAATCACAGCCTGTATTGCACATTTTAGAAAAAGCTTCCCCACAAAGGAATTTTCCCCCCTACTTTGCCAACATGAGCGTAGCCAGCCAAATGTTCAATCTCATTCTAAAAAGTCTGACATCTGACCCTGTTGAAAATTTAACAGATTTTTTTTCTTCCAAGTTATGCTGAGCTGCATAATAGAAGGGACGTTGTCAAAAGTTGCCATAGAAATGGGGAAAGAAAGCAAAAAATATTACAAAGAAAGATAACAGATGCCACTGGGGCACATGAGGTCGTAAAACCCTGTCCCCCATCCTGCTGAGCAGGACTAAGTGACCTAAGCCCCTACAGGACTGAAGCAACTTAGAGAAATACAGAATAAACATCTGAAAATCCCTGAAATGCAAGAAGTGAGTATGCCAGCTTCAGCAAACAGATCAACACTGCAAATATTGCCAGATCCATCTTCTTTGAGTTAGGCTTCCCAGTCCAGAATTCAGTTCCCTCAAAGAACATTAGCTGTGATTTACCTGCCTGAAATACACCTATTTCCCTTGGTATAAATGGGCTTCAAAGGTATTTTTCTTGTTCAAGACCAAATTTCTGCGAGCTCGCCACGCATGGAGATCGGAGAATTCCTTCTCTAGTCAGCCAGGCCTAACTTTATGTTGACCATAAAGTTCATGAAATCATTCCTCCCCAGGCAATTGCTACAGGTTAATTGCTTAACACAGAAATTATTTCTAAGCTGTTCTGCAGGTGACTTTTTGCAGATGATTCAAGTGATTCTTGCATTCACAAAACTTCTTGGCACTGGGAACTTCATCTTCCTTCAAGTACCCAAATCCACAGGACAAACCTCTCATTTCCTTTTTGTGCTGTGCTGGGACCACTGCAGCCCACCTTTCTTTAAAACTCCCAAGGAATGTCTTAGTCTTCTAGAGATATGAAGAGAAAGAAGGTGTTTTCTGGGAGTAAATATGGCTTGTAGGCAGGTATATGGCCTGACAGATGATTTCGATTGTGGTGAAAGGAGTGTGGAAGGCTTATTGCCAAAGAAGGAACAGTCTACAGAAGCTCTGAGTTTCATCACAGCATTTCTTAACAACTGTGAGGGGTATCTAGCACACCAGTAGGACTTTGTGTTTTCAATGTCAGATTAAAATAGAGAAACAGTCCATGAAACCAATGGCAACAGACAGTAGAAATGAAATTGGAAGAAGTGACTGGGTTTGGACCTTTTTGTGTGCAGAAATGTCTGGGTCTGCACTTAAGGCAGCATGGGGGATGAGACAGAGGAGGACTAGCCCACTGTGTGGACACTGTGGGTCCTGAGACAGGGAATACCAGCAGAACCCATGAAACTGTAACATGATTAGCTAGACTGGCCTATCTGCTACTGCAGGGTCAGGCCAACCAGGCTACAATTTCAACATAACCATCCAGTACTGCCCAAATGATGGATCAATATAAATTTCCTCTCACTTGGGACAAAAAAAGTAAAAATAAAAAAGGACCACCCTTAGCACTTTCCACTTCCACTGCTATTAGGAGCAAATAAGCATATATCATAGCAGCATTAGGTGCCTGGCATTCAGGTTAGCCATGGAAGGAGCAAGGGTTCAGCAGTCACTTGTATATGCTCCTTACCTCCTTTTCTAGTTTTTTTGCCATTCTCCAGTTATTAGATTCTGTGCCCTACTACATTTCAGAAAAAGTATAAAGCTATTCCAAATTTAACTTGAAAATTAAAGCAAAGTAAAATGACACTGAGAAATCCTAAGTACTTTTGCTCCCAAATGTATTTCTCACAAGCAGATTTTACTGACTTAAGCACTGTATGCATGAATTCTGGCTATGTGATTTAATAAATGCCCCACAGATTGGTTTCGGTTTGTTTGTTTTCCTCCTAAAGGACTGGGCTGCCACTGCCTTCAGTTGAAGAGGATTTCAGCAATTCCAGTGCAGGGCTAACTCTAAAGCTGTTTTTTTCTGATAGCAGAAGATCTGTGGTCCTCCTTATGCTCACCTGTAATTCAGATGAATGTCCTGTGCTCCTAGATAAGCACAAAGTAAAGCATTTTCTATCAAAGAATGCTTTTGGGGAAAAAATGGTGATCTGGTAATACTACAGTATTTTTTTTTTGGAGAAAGAACCTTTCGGTTTGCCTTCACTTTTTTTTTATGTCAGAGTGAGTCTAGGGAGGGAACAAAGTGCAGAATGGTAACAATCTAGATATCTCAGTTTGGCATGTTGGGTTGAGTTTGGGGTTTTTTCTGTTGTTTTGTTTCCTTAAACAAGTACTTCTGTCATTCAATTCCAAGTGACTGTTCCTTTCCAAAAGTTCCTTTACATCTTACCTTAAAATGTCTTAAAACCTCAGCCAAATACCAAAAAAATAATAGCAATTAAAAAAAAAGGAAGGGAAAAGTTTGCTCTAAAATATTTTATTTGACTAAAACTTGGCATTTTCTGTCTATTTTGTATCAACCTGAAACACAGCTTTTCTTTTTATTCCTGAGTACATAGGGATTGATGTGTCTCTACCCTTCTGGTGTGTGTCTACCGATTTCCAAGCAGAATTGATTAAACAACCCACAGGATCATAACTGAATTAACAGGCTCTGTCAAAATATGAGGAGATTCATTACCCCACTGGCAAATAGTTGCACATTTTTTCATCTTTCCTGTTTATTGTGAGAAGAAGACAGGACCTGCAACAGACATCTGTCTAAGCTGAACCCACCACAATAAATGTCCAGAGCTATATGCAAAAGAAAGCTTATGAACAAAGCATCTTGTTTTGAGTCACTGAGAGGTCCTAGTAACAGGCTGCTATCATGCCAGTTCCTTTAAGCCGAATCTGACATCTCTCTCTTGTCTAAACAACTGAGATTTTCAGGGACAAAAAAATGATGGACAATCAAGAATAAAAATGCTGAATCAGAAACTTCAGTAGTACTGTCATAGTCATACAGCAAGGCTGAGCTTTAAAAGGCAAAAATCTGTCAGCAGAGAAAAACAAACAATACCCTCTGAATTTATAGGGAAAGCTAATGAAAGTGAGAAAGATCTTGCACATAGGAGAGGGAGCACATGGCTTTCAGCAAGAAGACGATGAGCCAGTCTCAGTTGAGTGGAAAACATTTCACTGTCTGCATTTGGCACTGAAACTTTAGTATATTTGACAGGTCATTTTTACCAGATTTCCTCAAATAAGGGTCAAACTATTTTAATTCCTTTTTTGTGAATACACAAGCATGAGTGCACACGATTGTTTCCATGTGTTGCATTCAAGATACACTTAACAGAGGTTTTTAAAAACATCTGTAGAAAACAGGACTGAAAAGCAAAAATATCTGCTCAGGAAACAAAGTGCTGAGAAATTTCAATCTATGGTGGGAACATCAGTATTAATTTGGGAGAGGCAATAGATTTAATTTTGGTGAAGGCAAGAAAAAATAATATCACCATCATCTGTGTAAGGTTTCCGCTGTCTACAACAGATGTACACCAAATCCTTTTCTCCCAAAGTTAAAATTCACAAAATTGCACATGCCTCCCCTTAAACTGCAGCTGCAGATAGAGACTAAGAAATACCTAAATCCAGACAGCAGCAGTTACTTATGGGTGATTGATTCCCAGCCCTACATTTGCTTTAGGTGCAGATCAGTATAATCCAGGTGAGCAGAAAGGAAGCACAAGGTGGAAAATTATCAACTTTTTGTTCAGAGAGATATGTCCTACCCATCATTGGGTAGGCAGCCCACAATCCTCTCCCTAAAGGGATTGAGGAGTGCAGTCCTGCTGCCTTGCAGGGAGCCTCATGCTCTCAAATCTCCTGAGCGCTTTGGAAAAATCACCTACAGAAACATTAAGCCTTTGCTTTTGAAACTTCTTCTTAAGAGATCTGAAGGCTCACTTCCTATTAATTTTAATTCATTTCAAAATCTCTGAAAAGCCAGCAAACCTGGTTCCCAAGGGATCCTCTGAATGGGGACAGCTTTGCACACACAGCCACCTCTGAAAGCAATTTGTCAGCTGCCACAGATGTGCAGGATGTACCCATGCTGCCATGACCAGCTTGCCTTTAGAGAGGCCTCTGGTGCTGCAAGAACAACAGAAGTTACCTAATATTGAATATTTTAGATTATCTCATCAGTT